CGGATCGTGGACCAAAATGGATACTTTAAAGGATCATCAGACCAAAGTCGGGGGGGGGGGGGGAGCTTCTTCAGAAACTTTGGAAACTGGGGGAAGCTCCCCAGCACGTGTAGCGAAATGTCAGACATCGCGTCGAAACAGTACACGGCACAACTGAGAACACACCGGCGAGCTATACAGCAACAAGGTGTCAACAAACCTCTTCAGTAAAATAGTGGTAGTGCTTAGCGTTCGAAAAATGCTGTGGAACCTTTAAGTGGGGGTGGGCAGTGTATATTGCAAGAGCCATTTGTTGTTAATGTTTAACATTTGCTTTCATAAAAAAAATATATACTGGGCACAAAATAAACAACTTTGTATTTTTCCCACTGACTGGGATATCAACGTTAATCTTTTTTTTTGCCAAATTTTGTTTTATCAGTCATCTCATTTCTTAATTTCTCCTGGTCAGAAGCACGCTTTTTGACCTTCCCATATGTTGAGGATGAAATATATATATTTTAAATGTCGTGTAACATGTAACATTTGTATATATAATTTTAAATATTAACTCTTCTGTTTATCCGCTAAGATCAATAACGTTCTTATTAATCATAAACTTGTGTTTATATCCAGTAAGGGTTTTACTTTACTTTGTGCAGCACGCATATGAAGAAGCAAAATTCTCGTTTTATGAAAACTCAAATTTTACAACAGCTTGCTTGATATGTCTTAACAATAATGGTGTGTTTACTGTGGGTATTTGTTCACTAAATTAATTTACATCAGTCTTGTCTTGGCAATATTACCTCGATCATCATCATTAAGCTCTGTGTCCAGGCACCACATCAGCCATCGACCAGAGCAGAAATTTATACCACCCGAGGTAGCAAAACTTTAGTAATATCAATGTAATTATACAGCTAATGAAAGTCAATTACTTGATAATTCTACTCATTTCAAATGCTTCCCACATATAACTCACTATTATTGGTCACATAAAGAAATGTGAACCACTGCACTGATATCACCTCGGTTGTACCTACTGGTAAAATATCTGGTTTGGGCTCATGGACTAACATGATGATGCTTTGGTTAGAAGAAAACTTACCTCCTCTCTTTGCCTCCATTTCTCCACAGTCCTTTGCCCTCTTTTCCAAAGTAAACCGATCTTCGACGAGGTGAAATATCGGAATGAGATTTACGGACTATATGCCACGTCAAAATAATGAGGCTTGCCTTAACCTACAGAAAAATATTGCACTACCGTTGTCTTTTACACCTTCATGTGTAAGGAAACTGACGCGAGTTGGATATGCCTTGAGTGCTTCTACCCTTGTAATACGTATGGATTGTCTTTTTTAAACTTCGCCATATGTTGTGTTGTATGTCAGACGAACACGTCACCATTAATATTTATGTTACGACTTCATTTGGGCATGACTGTGCATGTCAATATATACGTGAATAAAAATGAAATATGAATGTTAGTTAAAAGTATGATTTTGTTTAACCAGGTTAGTGAGCTCAAGGAGACCAGGATAGTCTAATTTACAAGAGTAAAATCTGGGTCATCAAAATGAGTGAAGCAAATCAAATACATTCAAGGTGCTGAAACCTAAAATTAAAGATCACTCATAATTTTGTTATATTATTGTTTGAAACAGAAATATTATGTAATCTTTCTCCTTTGTGTCATTTTTTTGTAGCAATTACATTTGTGTTGTGAAATTTAGAGATTGTAGGAGGAGCATGGATTAGAGAACTTCCACAGGTCAAATTACACCATTAAAACTGTAAAGAAAAATAAGCGCGCTTGGGGGAAGGACACTTTACTAAAAGGGTTGGTGGCCAATAGGCAAGAAAAGCAACTGAGAAGGGGGGAAAGTGCCAGAGAGGATGTCCACTCATCCTAATCTGCATCCCCCTACCCTTCTACCCCGGTGTGTGTGTGTCCACAATTTGTATTGTGCCAGTGATCTCCTGTGACATGCCACAGCTACGGTCGTGGTGGGGTAAAAGGTGGGCACTCCCGCGTCTTCGAAGACATCTAGCCCAGCGTGAAATCCTCACAACGTGACACATGGTGGTGACTTTGGGAGGCCGTCTTCCAACAGTGGAGCGACCATGGCTGATAGGAATATATTTATAATAGGTTTATGATTCGGGCAATGGTCCTTTGTTATTAACTTCATTCACATAACTTGTCATTCTTATTACTAAATAGAGGTTGATGGCCGATAGGCAAGAAAAACTACTGGGGAAGGGAAAGCTTCAGAGAGGATGTCCACGAGTCCTAATCTTCATCCCTACCCTCTTCCCCTGGTGTGTGTATTCTCATTTTGTATTGTGCCAGTGATCTCCTGTGGCATACTAGTCACTACCAATGAGGAACCTTTCAATGGTTCCTGCATGTGAAACATTATGCAACTGACCAATTTTGTGATTTTTTTAATTGTAGCATTTCTCTTAGTAACTAGTTTTTATGTTTACGTGAATTGCTCTGTTATGCAGATTTCTTCCTAGGGAGATGGAGCGATGAAATTAACTCGTGCGCAGGAGGAATGTTACATTGCGAGGTCTCGGGAGCTGATGGCCACTCTGGGAAGCTGTCATCCAGCAGTGGATTCACCATTGCTGATGATTATGACACATACATACGTGGCTGATGATTGTGATCCTGATTATAAGTAAAATTATCCGTATTTTTTTTACCACCAGCTGAGCGGAGTGCTCGATGACTGCTCCTGCGACGTTGAAAGCATCGACGAATTCAACAACTACAAGCTCTTCCCCAAGCTGTGGAATCTGCTGGAGAAGGACTACTTCCGCTACTACAGGGTCAGTTTTTTTTTAATCATCTCCAAACAGCAATATTACACATTGCCCCTTGTGTTTTCTATCACTTTCAATATATACGCTGGTTCTCCATTACATAAAGGTTTGCGCATTTCTCCTTTTATGTTTTGGGATATGTACGGCGTGCCCTTGAAATGACGCAAACAGATGTACCGTGTCCCACATGTAACGCACGTGTATTTTTTAGAGGACCGCAAATGAATGTAAAAATATAGAAACTTGTCAAGTTTGCATTCTGCGTGAAAAAGCGATGCCGACTTGTTAGCTTTTCAGAAACGTTGCGCGACCAAGACAGTCCCAGTTTCGTACAGTGCTCTGTGGTGTATGGTAACGGGTGTAGCTTCGGCTCGTGCGTCCCAGAATTGCCTTGTATGCTTTTTACCTCCGTTTCATGTACCTGCATAACATTTGTTATGGTAACAAATATATGTGTATAAATGAACATTACCAAGCTGTAAATTTGGCGACATTTGGCCTTCGTGGAAATAATAAGGGTTTTTGTTAAGAAGACTGATCTGCCAGGGCACCTCACTCCGCCCCCCACCTCCAGTATTTCCGAGGACATGATGAAGAAGTTGACTTAGCACGTGCGAGAGTGCCCACGTATTCCCCCATCTCATCGTGTGGAAGGCTTTTCAACGCTGGCTTCAGAATAAACAATGCCGGTGCTTGTTAACGCAAAGTCATTCAGCGTTGTTGTGGAGAGTGTTAATTAGCAAAGTAAATAATGCCTTCCTTCCCATGCTCCTCCCCTCAGGTAAAGAAATACGTACTGTTTACACATCCACAATGACGCTTAATGATACATCTCTTTTGATTGAAAGCTTTCGTGACAGCAGGGATTCATATTCTTGGTTCTTTCAGTAAAGTCAAGTAGAAGGGAATCAATAAAATAATAAACATATAAAACAATAAAATTCTCACGATATTTCGATTGCAACACAAGCAATCATCATCAGGTGTGAAAAGCACAACACAATTTTCTTGTTGTGGTTTTCACACCTGATGATAATTGCTTTTGTTGCAGTCGAAACGTCGTGATAATTTTATTGTATTATATTTGTATTATTTTATTGTTTCCCTTCTATGTGACTTTACCGAAAGAACCAAGAATAAGATACATCTCTTTGTTATGTAATATATAGTTACCCGTCAAACGAGACCCATTTCTCACAGAAAAGGGTCATTTTCTTGGAAACATTTGGCAGCTCGTCAGCCTTAGTTTAAGTGAGCCCATATCTGCTGATGAGACACTGAATGTCGAAACCGGTCCAGAGTTTACATGTATTGAAGCAATGCTGACTGCTAAGATGTTGGGATATCTAAAAGAGAAATACTTCTGTTGTGGGCCCTTACGAACGCTTGCACTGCGCAGACTGCCAATTTGTAAAGCCGTGGGGGCGGAAATCATCGCACTCTGCCGCACTCGACATGGAGTTGATGGTGAAAATGTTTGTCCTCCTGTTTGTCCAGGTCAACCTCAAGAGGCCGTGCCCCTTCTGGCACGATGACAGCCACTGTTCGATCCAGGATTGCCACGTGAAGTCGTGCAAGCCGGTACATTTATTTGTGTTTTTTTTTTATTACAACGCAACACAATTTGCATTCAAAGAGCGTCCGGTAAATGCGACCGCATCTCAAGAGGCTGCACGGAAACAGTGGTCATGTTTATTATTTTCGAGAGCGCAGTAGTCGGTCAAAGGCAGTTGGGGAAAAAAAAAGGTTTTGAGCCTGGATTTGAACGGAAGTAGGGAGTGTCAACAGCATGGATGTATGGGGGAATAGAGTTCCAGGCTGAGTGCAGCAGTGGAGAATGAACGACGTTCCACCGGGTAAAGTTTGACTGAGGCGTAGAGTAAGATGAGAAGGGAATGGAGGTAAGAGAGTACGTGGGGGAGAGTATGGTGTAATGAGAGGGGAGAGGTAGGAGAGTGCATTGAATGTAGCCTTGCCGCATGAGTTGACCACACAGTGGGAATTGTTCCAGGATGTTTTCCAAGCCAGATGGCTTGACGCACAGTCACTCAATTAAATCGGAACCCAGTGATCTGAGGTCCGCTTCCCGACCATGGCTCGCATCGATAGCAAGTAAATAATCTGAATCAGTTTTCGGTTACCCTTTCATGAATACTCATTGACCATTGTGCCGAAGTATTGTCAAACAAACCTCAGCACGGGGAGGCTTTCATCCAGCAGTGGATTGACAAAATGCTGTCAATAGTTTTTTCTATATCCGAATTGGAAAAAAATATCTGAAATGCTCAACTTTGCTCGGTGCGACATGAAAACATTGCTAAAATATAACGGGGTTTTTTTTATTTTCTACATCTGTATCAAGGGGCGGCTACGTGTTTTCACGTAGTGTTTCTGGCACTTAACGTGATTTCGTTTTGTTTAAATTGCAGAGCGAGGTTCCGTCCGGAATTAAGGGAGGAGAGCACAACAAGGTGAGCGGGTCCTAGTGTCATGTCTGACAAGTTATTGTGCAAAGGCGATCGTCACTACGTACGTCTCTTCATTTGGAGCAAATTTATCAAAACGTTGGCCAGAGTTTGGCGATTATCCAACGTCAAATACGTGGGGTCCTTCGTCCGTTCCAATGATGTTACCCAACCATGTGTGCGGGCCGCATGCCGTCATCTTGTGCCTCTGATTAAGCGTGGTTATTCATTTTCACCCAGTAGTGGACGCAGAATGGCTCGTCTAATTTGCATGTATGTCGAACGTCTTTCGCACCGTACGTAGCCAACTGTGATAATTGGAGGTGCGGGGGGGGGACAAACCAAATCAGCTGGCATATTTTTGCACACGACAGCTCCATTTTAATGGCTTTGTCGGGTGGTGTAGAGGGTTATAGTTAAAATATTTTCATTATACCGACACGGTCTAACTCCAACCCAAAATAAACCAATTATGAATCATATTGGTCTGGAAAGCCTGTGTGTAAAATTAACAGGTGTGTAAAGTTTCAACGTAGGAATTTTCAGCTTTTCCTCAAAGCCCCATTAACTAACCACGTTTCTTGAAATATCCCACTTACACGGTATTACCAGTGGTTTGTTTTCCTGCCATAAGCAGAACAATTTAATGGCATCTCATCTTGTGCGCTATTGAGTCCGCATGCAGATTTAAACGTCCAGTTTATGTGCGTCACACTTTTGCAGCTTAAACAAAATAAAAAAATATTCTTCAACAAATTGCATCCCCCATGATGGTCATTTACCATCCTTGCTTTTGTGCGTTTTTTTATTTTTCCTTTGAACAAGTTTTTCAATTTTAAGTTTCATTTATTTGGTATAGCCCCGTGAGCCATTCGGCTCTTGAATCGGGTGCAACCACAATAAACAAAAAACAAAAACAAGAACAAGAAAACATCTTAAAGTGACTATGTGACTGTGCAAACAGAAAATCCAGGAAAAAACGCAAAATATTCCTGAAAAAGCACCGTACAACGCTGTGTGCAAAAAAATCCCAGTGGAATGCAAGTCAAACAACAACAACCACAAGACATCTTAGATTAAGGCCATCAGTCTAACTCCGTACTACAACAAACAAACATGGCCAAACCAAAACACTTTTTGAAATCACCAAAATAAAGCCATAAATGCAATGTAACGGTGATCATAGGGCCTTACAGAATTTTTAAGAATAAACTACATTAATAACATGTAGCACCAAACCATAGAGCCATAGCTGGCTGCATGAGTCACTCCACAACAAGGTGCTTCATTTCAGCCAGAACAATTAACTTGGCACGCCACATTCTTCCGTCATTGCGGCAGGGTGTGTGCGGGTGTGCAAGAAAATTGTGAATAGTTCTCATAGGGTAATAGTGATATAGGATTATGGACAGTCATACCTTCTACTCGAGTGGCATTGACTTACATGGATAATGCCTACTCCAAGCCAGCTACAATATCGCGTGAAATTTGTATGTCCTAAGTTGTACATTTGTTGTTTTTCTATTGACTAATGTAAAAAAAAAAAAAATCAGTGAGCTGAGAAATAATTAATTGAGACAAAATTATATCTACATCCATTGTGGAGAGTTGAGGCAACCACTCAAGGTACCACACAAGCTCTAGCTCACATGCATGCATTTTCACGCTCGGGCACTTATACCCACACGCACTTGTTTCCACTGACTGTGGTGATACGCAGCACATCATCGTCATCATCCATGATCAAATCAGTGCTGGATGAAGGCCTCCCCCTGTCAAAGTTGTCACCATCTCCCCCAGTTTTGTGTACTGGAGTTGAGAAACACAGTCCATACATCATCTTTGGGCACTTGTAATCTGAGTTCATACCATGTAAGATTCGTCACACTGACCAGCCCCTTCCAATTTGTAGAAACACAATGTGTGACCTAGCCGATGGTTGTCACCCTATCGCTGTGTGCAGTACCTGGAGGACATTAACGTTTGGGCCAAGGAGCAGCAGGAGTGCGAAGAGGCGAGAAAACTGGGAGCCATCGACAACACCATCAGGCACGCTCCACTCGCGTTGTTTAGGCAACGGGGTCACATTTTGGGCATTGATAGCTCGCTGAGGTGTTCTCGGGTTGTTCCATCATCACCATCTGGGATCTCTCGAGGTCGAGTTTTTGAAGGTCTGGGTTTGTGAGTACACAGGTGGCTGATAAGGTAAATCCTGGAACCACGTATCTTGTTAGTGGCAGCTTGGGTTGTTACAATGTTCTTTGGTTCTTTCGGTAAAGTCACGTAGAATGAGAATAAAATAATAAATTGATAAAAAAATAACACAATAATATTCTCACGTGACTTTACCGAAAGAACCAAAGAAGATGAATCCTTGCAGTCACGAAAGCTTTAAATCGAAATTTGTTACAATGTGTTGTTTGGCACGATGTCCAACGTTTCGCTGCATGGGGCAGCTCGCATTCTTCCTTGATTATGTAAAGTTGCCAGTTGGTGCTGGTGTTCCTGAAAAGGCTTCTAGCACTTGGAGCGAAACGTCGGGCATCGCACCGAACAATATGTTGCAACACGAAAATGCATCGGAAAGCCTTGCAACGCTACCGCAAAAAAAACCTACATCGTAGTGTTAATGGCTTGGTTTCAAATATATATACACATTTGGGGGTGAAGTCTTTTTTTTTTGTCCACGCAAGAGATAATTTAATGATTCGTATGCTCAGAGATTCGATGAAATAGTCACGATAAAAATTCGTGAATATTCTCTGTCTCGTTTTTGCTATCCTGTTTTTTTCACGTCTGCCCAATTTGTACAGTTTCATTCTCTCCCGTTCCTGTGACACGAACGTTGGCTTAGAACTAATTTGCGTGTAATTTGCATGCATTGTAAACAATGTCACCTAATTTTCACGCGTAACACTCGATGAGCGTGTCAAGCGAAGTCTTGATTAATGGTTGTTAATTTGGACCGCTACACGCCTGTTAATTGAGTGTTTATTTTAATGTGTGGACAAGGTGTCATTTGTAACTGTATAAGAGCTTATTTATTGTACTTTATATAAAAAAAATAACAACGGGACACTGATAAATAGCGAACCTACAGGTGAGATATGTTTGTACGTGAATTGGTGAACGTATCTGTGAGACTTTCACCACTTGTGCAAACCGTACATTAGCATCAAGGCCTCTCCGTAATAAAAGCCTATTTGCTAAGCAAATACAATTTTACCTTTTAACTAAAGCCGTGTCGTTGTAAAATGGATGAGCTACTCTGTCTACAGGAAAGTTACCCATACGGATGCTTACCTGAAACCGGATTCCCACCACCATCCATCCCAGAAGAATTCCCTAATCAAGACTCTGCACCATAGAGCCCAATGCATATCCGACCAGGAACACATTGCCAGTGAACTGAAGCACGTACACCAAGCTCTTAAGGCTAATGGTTACTCCGACTACACAATCCGCAAAGCTATCACTCCAACCATGAAGAAGGACCCTCTTGAGGAGCCATTCAAAACCATCACCTTACCCTACATTGCGGGGATCACAAAAAAGATCTCCAAAATCTTGAATAAACACATGATCCAGGTCCGATTTAACACATAAATATTCTTAGCTCTTTCGGTAAAGTCACGTTGAAGGGAAAGAATAAAATAATAAAATATATATAAAACAATAAAAATTCTCACGACGTTTCGACCATAACACAAACGGTCGTCATCAGGTGTGTCGGTTTGCATTTATTTATTTTTAAACGGTGTATTTATTTATAAAAAAACGTCAGCGCCACGCGCAGCGATTTGGCAGTTTATTTAGAAGGACTAGTCCATCTATGTTCTGAAAAGAGGAGGGGGGAGACGAAAAATTAGTTCTTCTAAATTGCCAAATCGCTGCGCGTGGCGCTGGCGTTATTTATTTATTTTCATATTTTTTCAAATAAACAACGTTTATAAATAAATAAATTGATGCGAACCGACACACCTGATGACGACCGTTTGTGTTATGGTCGAAACGTCGTGAGAATGTTTATTGTTTTATGTATATTTTATTATTTTATTCTTTCCCTTCAACGTGACTTTACCGAAAGAGCTAAGAATATGAATTACTGCAGTCACGAAAGCTTTAAATCAAAACATTACATAAAATCCGTGATCTGGTTCCGTCTGTAAAAGATGTGCTTCCGGACATACAGTACCCTGGCGTCTACAAACTAAGTTGCCTCTGTGGTAGTAGTTACATTGGAGAAACCAAACGACATGTCTGGGACCACATCCGTGAACACAAAGCAGACCTAAAACACGGTTGGACCAACACCTCGGCCGTGGCAGATCACTGTTATAATTCAGTAGGCTCACATGACATTGACTTCTCCAAGACAGAGGTCCTCTGCAAGCCATCTGGCTACCATGAGAGATTCGTTAATTAGGCTATCCACATATACAAACACAGACAATTTCAACCGAGAAGATGGATTCTGGCTTAGTAATAATTGGAAGGATTTGATAAACCATTTCGGGTCTTAATTGATTGTTCACGCTTACGGTGGCTTTCAGACCGCATCCATTATTTTCGTCTCCCCCCTCCTCTTTTCAGAACATAGATGGACTCGTCCATCTGAATAAATGCCAAATCGCTCTCTGTGGTGCTAACGTTAAAAAAAACCCGCCACTTTTTTCAAATTTTCTTGCTGTGGTTTTCACACCTGATGATTGTTGCTTGTGAAACGTCGTGAGAATTTTATTGTTTTATATTTTTATTATTTTATTGTTTCCCTTCTACGTGACTTTACCGAAAGAACCAAGAATATACTTTATAACCATGTTAAGACCCTACTGAGATGACCGGTATGATGGGTATTAGTATTTATAGCAAAGCAAGTCAAGGTCAGTTTGTCAACACAACAATTAGCTTGAATTTTGTTGTCCTGTCACGAATCTAATCCATTATTTTCCATCGCAGTGAGCATGATATCTCCTGATTATATATATATTTTCTCTCCCATATCTATGTTCTGCTCGTGTATTGGAGTTGTTTTTTAAAATAATGTCGATTTTATATTTTTTTGTGATATTCAACCCCTTTTGATTTCCACAGCGACCAAAGCAAAGTGGCCTTCATCGACTGGGCAAGATATGATGATTCTCTGGATAACTTTTGTGAGATTGATGGCAAGTGGATCACACCACACGCTCTCACACAATACAACAAACTCATGCAAATATAACATTCTACTTATGTTGCTTCCTCTGTAATTTTCGGCTAATGCTGACCCCAACTTAAGCGGGACACCTTTGAAAAAAAGAGCTTCCTAGCCCATCGGTTTCTTCAATCTCCAATTAAATGTTTGTGTCCAAGTATGTTTGCGCCAGTACGTTTGTTGTTGTACCCAGTCTGGTACAAGCGCCGTGGTGACATCACCGCCACTTAGTGGCGAAAGGGCAGATGTTATTATTGTTGTTGTTGTGCAGGCACTGCAGCTGGTTATGGCCTGCATTTCATCGTGGTTTTTTGGCTTTGACCAATGTCTTTGTAGTCAAGGATAATGGTAAAGTGGGAGTTGTTTGACCGTGCTTCCTCATGCTTGCTGCATGCAGGTTGGTGAAGTTTTGGAGGGTGGGGAAGGTTTATCTATCATTCGCCCCTCGGGTGGTGACGTGGCCTCACGGTGGCGCGTTCCGCCGCTCGTTAAGAGGTTCACGGTTCCAATCCAGCGGCCGCCCTGGTTATCGCTGACGGTGTAATAACTGTAAAAATGTTTCAAAGTGGACATTAGCTCCCCTTGACTTACTGCACTATAGTTGGGCCATTTGCCAAATGTGCTAAATTACCCGCAAATTACACAATTTGGGATTATACACAGCAATTACCCCCCCCCCCCCACTGTCAGACATGTCCTAGGTCGCTCTTACAAATGAGACTATCCTGGTCTCTTTGAGTTCTCACCTGGTAAGTTTAATAAATGTATCTTGAAACGATAAAAAAATAATGTGACACGTGGCTATTAACACTTACGATTTGTTAAGGACTTGGGATAATAAACTGATGATGTATATCATCATACCACCTTATTCCCTGCTGTAAAAAAAGAAAAATAAATTTAAAAAAACTCCTTAAGTTATAATATTAAATGCACGTGGTTTTTTGTCCATTTGTACCACGTCTTGCGATGTGGTCGCCTTTATATTGCATATAAAATAATAAAATGTGCTTTAATATTTTTTTCGTGATATTTGAAAGTAAAGTAACAGGTGCTGGGCAGGACACATCGCTGGAAGGGTTGATGACTGATCATTGAGACTAACTATGGAATGGTAGCTAAAGGAGAGAGGACACGTCCTTTAGAGTACATCCACCGCAGGAGACGGAGCATCGAAATCGGATCGTGCGCATGAGCCAGACGGATTGTTCTGTCGCGAGATTGTGACAGATGGTGATGGCTTGGGGGGGGGGGTGGAGGAATGTCTTCATCCAGCAGTGGATAGAAAATAACTGACGACGAGGTGATGTGCTGCGACCTTTTTCAGACGAGACTTCGCCCGACATGGAGTACGTTGACCTGCGGTTGAACCCTGAGCGCTACACTGGCTACAAGGGCCCGTCTGCGTGGCGCATCTGGAACTGCATTTACGAGGAAAACTGCTTCAAGTGAGAACGAGCATTCGTGCCACCTCGTGCCGTGCCATCCAGGAGCCCCATCGTGGCTCCACGTTTTAGGGCTTTGACGATGGTTGGTTCCAGGTTCTGTTTTGTTCTTGCGTACGGCAGCAAATATGTCAGCGTCAAGGTCTGCTCGCCACGACGAGACGGCTGCAGAGAGAGAGTTTGCGTAGTTTTTCTGTTCCTCCTCCTCCTCCGTCGTTCAAGGAGCGCAGACTACAGTGGTTAACGATATTGTCCACAGTTTGGATTGCATGGCCACAGCCGCACACTGCCTCTGGTCGGTGCCTTTAATAATACAAATTATTAAGGAGATCTGTGCATCGGCCTGTTGATGTTCTGATGGTACACCATCAGCCGCATCATGATTCAAGGTTAACTTGTCGTTTAAATTCTGAAACGACGATCCAATATAAACAAATCGGACCCATTTATTATGGAATGGGATATATAGATTTCCGTATCGTTCGCCTTCAACAGACATGAAGTGACGTCGCAACGCAGTTTATGTGAGAGCCGTAAGGTTCAATTACGATTTTTGCATCTGGTACAATATTAGCACAATTTTAGGAGAAAGTTGTGTTTATATTCGGCACTTGCCCTGTTTAAAACCAGACAATTTGATCAAAGGGTTATTGCCCAAAAACTCTGGAGACTTATCACAGCAAAAAATACTTAATCGCAACTATGCAAACAGGTTTTGCCCTGACAGCCACCTTCCGGCATCCACACAGCCAATTAAATACTTCTGAAGGCAAACGCGTGTTGCAACGCCAGTCTGCATTGTACAAATGTTTGCCAATATCCGAATGTTGCAAATGTGTTTTTTTTGTTTGTGCAGGCCTCGCTCGGTGTACAGGCCGCTGAATCCACTGATGCCACCCAATCGCGGTGAGTACTTTTTTTCACTTGGTGGATATTACCCGTGTTGTGAAAAAAATATATGTATATGAGAATGTCAGGGAATGTTCTTGCGTCCCGCAGTATATTCATTAACACTACCACCTCCATCAAATCTCGGTGGACAGCTCGCACCGCTAATTGGCAACTGCAAAACGTGAATAATTTTCAGAAAATATTAATGTTGGCCTCTATTCAGCTGCTGCTAATGCTTAAACAAAATAACTTTATATTTTTACAAAATACAGCTGGTTTATTATTGTTGTCATCATCATGATTTGAGCTTGCTTGTTTCAATATTTAGCCGTATGTTTTTAAAAAAATTATTGTCTCGTGTGATAATAAAAATAAGTGCCATTTATTTATCCAGGAAAGCCTCAATGAATCTCAAGACTCATGAGGGGGAGGAGGGTCTTGCATTAGGTTACTTGACCAGATCCTTTCTTTTTCAAGAAGGAATGTTTTGCATGCAGATTGAACGGGATTACCCAGAGAAACCCCACAACAAACGAGAGTATGACTCTCAAAGTTGCACACAGATGGGTTCATGAACCCACTTTCCTCTCCTGCCACCTTTTGACCCTGTGGGTTTCAGGAGTTGTAAAGCTCCAGGCTCCAAAGCACCGGATTCCAGGAATGGCATGGCACCATCACATCTGACCCAATATTTGATATCAGATATTTGTTTATATCTGCGTTAATTGCATTTTTTTTACATTGTTGCTTCCACTGAATGGTTTGTGTTGTTCTTTTCAATTATTTTGTTTGTTGCTTTTGTGTTTGGTCCGAGGTCTTTTCAAAATAGACTTTGGTCTCAGTGGGGCTCTCAACCCATGCAAAAAGTCAATCGACAGTTAATTGTGGCACAGACGGCAAGGATCACACTTATAAAAATACCTCTATAATGTGGAGTGTAAACCGTTGGTGAGCCACCAATAAAAAATATGATGCCATGAACAAGGGCCATTGCCTGAGCGGCAACTGTTACCGTATTCTCCAGATAATAAAACCCACTTTTTGCCATCGTGCGAAATAAAAGTTGGAGGTTGCATCTCATCATCCAGTAGGAGTGTGTATGTGTGGCCAGATTTGTATAACTTTATTGAGTGAGTATTATAATTCAGCACATATGCGTGCATGTGTGTATGTGTGTAAGAGACCATGGGGGAGCGATAGTGTAGCGGTTAGCGCGCTGCGCTACGAACCCGGCGACTCAAGTTCGATTTTCGCTCACGGCCAACACAAGTGACGATTATCTGAACCAATCCTGGGACTTCCCTAGGTCGACTCGACCTCAAATTATTACCTAGTGCGGTGTGTAAACATCGCCACGAGGGAGACAAAGGCGGTCGGGCATGGTGCTGGCCACCAACCCCCTCATGTACCGTGCTGGCCTCCATAGGTGCTCGCTAACAGCACTTGCCCCAACAATCTGTTAAGGGTATAAGGGGGAATCTTTGTTTGACCATTTTGGTATCACTTTATTGATAAAGAATTAAGGTATATTTTTTTTCTTTTGGGACAGTGTTATTGCCAAACTCATTGAATGATCGTTTTATGTCGTATTAACTTCTTATACAAAGTTGTTAAATGCCTGCTGCCTGTTTATTTCCCCAGGTGAAGATGACGGTAAGGGTCTAACTGTGGGTGGTAAATATTGCATGTGCAAGGCAAAAAAAAAAACTAACACTTGTGGTATCTGCATGCGCTCGCTGTAGCTGACTCGGCTTCCGTGCAATTAATTCCCCGTCGTAGACAAAACGTTCACATTTACCGTCTTAACATCGTGCCACTTGCTAAACTTAATGGGTAATATCACTGAACGCCGATGAAATAGTTGCCCGATTTGTTTGAGCATAGCACAATAAATCGAGCAAATTGTTTCCATAAAAAAAATATGGGCCATCCAGGAATCTAGTTCGTCAGTTAACGCGACGAAATCTATGCGAGGCTCGACCGGGGGACAAATGGAGATCCCACCCACGGGCCCTCCCCGTCAGCCCCGTCTACTTCTGCATTGCCACGCACACTCTGAACTGCTAGCCCAGCCTACAGTGGATTTGCTGTTTCTGACGTTGGCCCAGCCTATTGCTCTCACAGTCCCTGCCCACTCCTCTGCCAGCCCTGGCCCTCTCGGCGTATCACGAGTTGAGCGTGAGGCCGGAAAAATTTCAGACCGGGGCAAGATTCTGATTCGCAAAGGGTTTAAGAGGGGGACACCGAGGATAGCCTTTTGTCAACCTGGGACAGTCCGGGGCCAATCCGGGACATCTGGGTAGCTTTGCTTGACACGAGCCCCTCCCTTCAATCGTTGACTTAAGCACGAACCGAACTTTGCCAGCTGCTGCTTTTGCATTGCCTCCTTGAATTGTTTTGTCGTCGGTGTTTGAGCGTGTTGTACGGTTAACCACTAATGCTCTAGTTCAGCCCTAGAAAAAAATGCTTCATCGTGAGACGTAGGCGCACAGTCGGTGCATTAGCCCTGTCGGTAACCCAACTCTGCAGTGTAACCTTCCTCTGCTTTCGAGATCAGGTGAGATTGGGGTGCACTTCTGGTGATTTGGCTCGGGCAGCGTAGATGGATGTAATTGCAGAAGCAGCCATCGTTCATCTTATTAACGCATTGTGGCAGTTTTAAACGGAAACGGATTACACTTTTCCCCCCCCTGTAAATGCGTGAAGTTTAGTTTTTAAGCAGAAAACGTTTAAAATGTATTCAAGGTGAGAAGGTTTTTAAGGTAAAATATTTTTTCCGAGGGCTGTACTAGGTTTATTGCTTCAATCAGTGAAACGACTAATGCACGTATTTACTACCCTGCTCTGTCGGATCTGTTTCTGTATTTGTATTTTTGTACCTTTCCACTCCCTTGGCACCCCTTCGTACATTATGGGATACCACAACGGCCAGCAGAAGGCTCCGTTAAAAGCCAGCAGCACAGCTATTTTGTCACTCATCATGAGAAAAGTGTGTCCACCAAGCACTCTGTGTCGCTCTGCACGCTGGAGTAA